ATATATATCAAGAATATACGCAAATAGTTCCTATTGTTCATTTTTTCAACTTTTCTGTGCTTTGTTGTCTTTTATATCATACTTTTTGTTCCATAACACTGCCCGGCCGGGCCCCGGTTTGGAAATGTGACCTCAGCATAACCACATGGAAAGGAGCTCGAAGAAGCACGCTTCCAAATTGGCTAATAAATGCCCGTTTATGGGTGTTAGCATTTGTTTTAAGTATTTTAGGATATATATTTGCATTTTTACCATCAACATCTCGAGATATTCAATCTCAAGACATCATTAAGAAGGATATAGCAATGATACTTTTTAGTTTCCTTCTATCGTTTGTATTGCCTTTAGTTATAATTGTGTTCTTTTACGCGCTTTTGTTCAGGGCATTAGGGAAAAATTTGGGTTTGATAGCGGGTTCTAGAAATGATATGTGGGGTCGTGTGGCGTATCGGCAGGGAGTGCTCGACAGGGAACCAAGAGGTCCTGTGTTCGAGTCCTGACATGCCACCGATCTTGTGCCCTTTGGGAAAGGCACTTTACACGACTTTCCTCACTTAACTCAAGTGAAAAATGAGTATTGTTCTGTCCTGTATTTGTCCTCTGTGTTGGTGGCGGCATAAAATAAGTTGATATAACTTGAGTTAGCCGTCACCATGTTTGGTCATAACAGGTAAAAGTTGGAATATATAAAAAAAAAATGACATTAAGTCACGTAACCGCGTTACGAGAATGGTGATAGCCGTTGTTGTTGCCTTCGTGGTAGCCTGGTTGCCTGGGCCTGCTATAAACTTAGTTTACGTCTCAAGTAAAATTTCAGACAATAGGGCATTGTCCCACGCAACTCAGTCGCCAACCCGTTTCTATACGCCCTGCTAGGCGATAAGTTTGGGTTCTACATCCGGTAGATCGTGTGTTTGAAGTGTGTATGTAAACAGGGCTTTGGCATGGGTTGCTTTCTGGAAACTAGAGCATCTCTGGAGGAGTGAGTGCATCTTAACTGCACTAAAGTAAAGCTCTTTAAAGCCTCCTGTGTATCAGTGTTGTCCTATGGTTGTGAGTCTTGGGTAATCACGAAGGGCTGATTCAGCATGTGCGTCTGAGACAGGTTAACTTTCTGGGACACACCCTGCGCATGCCTGAGGACGAACTTGTTAGACTGTACGCTCTCTACGTGCCCTCTCATGGCAGACATAGGCGAGGCCGACAGCCTACTTCTAACTTCAAGTATATGCAACAGCTGCTGGGAGAACACCATGGTCAACTGTCAGAGAGGCAGATCGCCAACCTTGCTTGCGACAAGGGGCAGTGGAGGGCTCTTGCAGTCGCCTGCGCAGCAGCCGACCGATGATGATGATGATGTAAACAGGTTGTCAGCGTTGAGAGTAAGCATCAGAAACAAGAACAAACAACAGATAGAGAGACAGTTTCAAGTCTGTAGGTTTTTACTAGGTCATCTTTTTACCCTTTTTCTTGGCCATTTTAACATGTATTGCGTAATAATTATCTTTTAGATTAAAGTCATATTAACAATTTCTTAATCTGTAAAAGAGTTAAAAATTAATAGGAGTATTATTACAAATATGCTCTCTTTTCAACTATTGTATATCTTTGCATCATTTTACATGTCCAATTGTAACAATGTATAAAATAATTGATTTACCTTTTTATCAATAAAGGAGTTGCAAAAAGGAAAAGTTGCAAACATGGGATGGTCGACTCATTGAAAAGCTTAAGGGGTGTTTTTTTTCTGGTTTTCGGACAGAGGTTCTGTCCTTGGTTTGAAGGTCAGGCATCGACACTAGGTGCCTACTCCCCATGGTGATGAAGAAGGTGCTAGTCAGCTGATTCTGTCACGTGACCACAGGTCTTGATGGAGACCACCATGACGTCAGCAGTCCCTACGTCATCGCCACCTGTACGAACACGGCAATGCCATTACACATATGTCCAAGGAGGTTTTTTTAGCCTCTACCAGGCTTCGGGAGGCGAATGAATAGAGTAGAAATTGGCCAAATAGAGATATAACATGCCCGGAGAGCTGGTCCGCTAGAGAATACAGTTTTAGGGAAACTGTACTCTCTAGCGGACGGAATCCCCTGACATGTTTTCTCTCTATTTAACCAATTTACTTTTTCCAGCCGTCTCCCAAAGCCTGGTATAGAGGCTATTAGGTTTTAGATCTATCAGAGTAAAGGGGAGAGGGGTAGGAACTTTGCAGCAATAGGCATGTCCCAATTAAATAAGGTCTTGTTGTGTTGGCCAGCTGCAGACGTTGCTTGACTTTTTGGTGCTCTCTGCGTTCAAGATGGTGGCAGCGGTGGGATTCTAACCAAACCCGTTGAGATCCATAGGGCTGTAAGCTTCATTAACTTTCCTGTATACACAATCCTCTCGAATGCAATGAATGCCCTCTGATACTAATTATCACCAGGCCGCTTTCTAGGTCAAATAAAACTACGTTGGACCGTTGGTCAAAGTAGAAATGAGTGCTTGCCAGGTCAGGACATCAAAACAAGCTGACCTGTAGTCCAGTTGACGTAAGTCGACTTCCTAGAGAACAGCATGTGTGGCACGCGCCGATCACGTGTCTCCCACTCACACACCGTGCTGCCTTCCACCACCACCAGCCAACCGTTGTCGGCGGGACAACCGGCATAGTTTCGGTTGATATAGAAACTCCTGAAATATGATTTTCGGGAATTTATAATCAATAAGAACAGCAACTTATATCATCTTATCCTGAGATTTGAACCCAGAATTTCTATATACTGAACATTAGGTCACCGATGCCATGTCCAACATTTCCAAATGCGTACATGTACCTTGGGGCACGTCCCACGTCACCTGGGATCGAGAAATAGTTGGTTGTCTCCGTTTTCAGGTCAGTCCATGGGGACGAGATGAGTCGCCTCTTGGAGAACCAGTTGAGCTTGTCGCTGTCTCTGCCGTCAAAGATCAAGTTAAGCACTTCGGTTCCCTGCTTGTACAAGTACAGGGAGACTTTCACCTGTAAAACGACATATCTTCATCATTATATGCTTTATTGAACAAAAAACTATATATGTAGAAACTATATGCGCAAGACATCTATCACTACAGACCCGTGATCTTGTGGACACGTGACTTCAGCAATGGGTCACAGGGGCCTGTGAGTGTGTAGCGGCCTCTCCATGAATGGTAGGAGGGGGGGGGGGCAGCCTTTCAGTGACATTTGACCCACCACTGAAGTCTAAGTCTAAAATGTGCCAGTGAGAGATGAAAAATCCTTAGAACCAAGCTGTAGTGTTATCTGGAATATTAGACGACATGCATCCTTGACCGACGTCGGGTGAGCACGTCGGCAAAACGTACTGCACCTGCGCGAAACCCGTTATATATTAAGCATAGCACTTCGGCAGAACATCACATATAAGGTCATATTAGCGCATATAAGGTTAACACTCCGTTTGTAGTTTTCAAATGTTATGTCGGAAAAAATATTGACTGCAACAGGCAAAATTCTGATGCAACGTTGACCAAAAATCCAACGAAATCCGTAAAAAAATGGGGGATTTGCGCAGTCGCAATACGTTCTGCCGACGTGCTAGTCGGGTGTCAATGTAGCCTTTCAGTGACCTTTGACCCATTGGCGAGGTCACGTGTCCACAATAGCCAATTAGATATATTTATCCCATATCCCTAAAACTAGGCATTAGGATTCTTGAAGTTCTTTGCATTTCAATGATCCCACATTTCAAAATGAGTAGGAATGCTTTCGGCAAAAAAAACAAGTCAATCTCTTAAAAGGTTACGCTAAACGCACCAGTTGAACGCCGAGTGTTTTCCACTCTTCCACCAGCGGACTTTTGTAGTGGGCAGCGGGGAAGAGGAGCGGGTCTGACCCGAAGTCTGTGGCGAAGCCAGCGGTCCAAACGTCTCTAGCCTTCACACCTCCAACTCCGGGTAGGATTCGGAAAACAGGCTGCCAGTCACAGTGTTCGGCTGCAAGTAAAAAATCCTTTGTTGGTTTCAAAAAAACAACAATAGTAATAAGTATTGCCAATTAATTCTCCATTACCTTCACCTAGAAGTTTAAACTTTAAACTTTTAAAGGGGGCAAACCCCAGTTTATTTGGCGTTTCTATTCGAAGCTGCACACCTTCAAATCTAGTGACCGTCTCTGCCGTGGAATTATTCGGAAGGAGAATAACTGTATATGGGACGAAATGATATCTCTTTAGCTACAAGAACATCTGAGTTTGGTTTCTTCAATTTTGGTAAAATCAACAGATAAAAAAACATTATTTTCACTCGAAAATTAATGCACAAAATTGAGAATTTTAGGATAGTCCCATAGAAAAAACTTTTCCGGCAGAAATGACTGATGCTGGCAGAAAGACCCAAACCTTGACTTTGCCCGAGTAATTCGAGTACTATTATATAATAATTCTTTTATCGTTCACGGCGCGAGGGGTTGCAATACCCAGAAGAAAGGTTCGGCGTCGAAAGAAATTTTCACCCCAAAATCACCATTTCTTACACTCTTCAGCCATGTTAATGTTTAATGATTTTTCGTGGTAGTTTATGAGAAATGTCACCTCAAACTTTGACCCTCAAAATCCTTTCGTCATTTTTTTTACCGCGCACTACCACGGACCTCTGTCGCGGAAGAATTGGGGTGTGTACCGTTAATGTTTCTGGTAGTGTTTATTTGGTTGTTATACGAAAATTCTATTATATCATAGTGGTAACATATCCTATATCTGCGGCATGCATTTATAATTAGAAGTTATGGAAAGGTCAATATCGTTCGACGTAAATAATGTAAATATTCAGTACACTGAATATCACTTAATAGTATCGCGTTTGAAATAATTATAGGTTAAACGATATGTTAGAATATTTTTATTGTTAATTGGTTCTATTGGAAACACCTATACACTCTGGACACGATTCTGAGCTGTACCAAACCATGCAGATGATAGTCAAACACACACATCACACGCACACACACACACACACACACCGAAAACAATAATTCCCTAACTTAATTTTCACATTTGTTATGCAAATTAGGTCAACATTTGCATAATTGGTATCTATTGATGTTCTACCTGCCATAGATTAGATAGTACAAAAGCACTATTATATAAAACACTGTAATTATAGAATTTCCTTCCTCGTTATGCAAATTACGTCTCCATTTGCATAATTTGCATTCAATCATGTACATCTCTCTCAGCTACCTACATACTAAAAGTAATGAAAATATGTTGTTCCTTTCTGTACTTTCTTGACAAAATTTAAACGATTTCGCCAGAAAGTTCCCTGCAGTTCCAGAACAAGCTGCTAGGGGGACCAAACCCACACTACGTATTTCTGACTGGAAGAGCTATATGTCACAAAAAATCAAAGACCATACCATATTCAGGACAAAAGATAAAAAAATATGTTGTTCCTTTCTGTACTTTCATGACAAAATTTAAACGATTTCGCCAGAAAGTTTCCTGCAGTTCCAGAACAAGCTGCTAGGGGGACCAAACCCACACTACGTATTTCTGACTGGAAGAGCTATATGTCACAAAAAATCAAAGACCATACCAGATTCAGGACAAAAGATAAAAAAAGGTTATGCTGCAGTACCAAGGTCATCCAACAGCAGGCCCAGATTTGACCTTGACCATTGTCTTTCTACGACCTGCCAACATAGCAAATATCATCACAATCCATAAAGGCGTTCTGAAGTTATGACTACAAATGTGCGGAAACACACACTGACAGACAGACAGACAGACACACAAAAAACAATACCTCCATTTTTCATGAAGGTAATTCAAATTAATGTAATGTAACAAATCACTGATAACGTTAACAGGGTAGAAAGTAACGGGTTTTAGGGTTCATATGAAATAGACGTCTGACATCTCTGACAGACAAAAGCAGTTCCTCAAGTACTTTCTCATCTGCCATCGACGTACATCAAGTTATAAACTCTTTCAACATGGGAATAAACTTTAAAGTTTTCCAAAACTTTAAAAGTTTTCCAAAACTTTCCAAAAGCTTCCTAAATAATCTCTGTCTTCCTTGTGAGGCAGCTGCAGTTACAAAGCAAAAAATACCATGGATAGCATTAGGTTGGAAGACCATAAGTCATATCAAACTATCTTTTATATGAGAATAATGAGAAGTCCCGTGTTATTACCTGTACCTGGCTCCCCCTTAGGTCCTGGTGGACCAGCAGCACCCTGTATGTAAAGATGTCACATGAATTTGACTTATGAACTCGTGTGAAAGACACACACTCCGCAAAAAAATCGATTCATTCATCTCCCTTTAACCTGTAAATAGTTTTTTTAAGTTGGTACTAGTCTGTTTGTTTGTTTGCCCTAATGAAAATCACCGCAGTTTGCCATGCATGATCTTCAAAATCTGATCCTCCTCAGCGTTTCCCATCATGAAGACGACAGAGAGGTTATCTTAAAATAAGGTCGGCACAGTAAAATATGTATTAGTGTAACAAAGCAATCGATACAATACTACATTGTGAAATATTTTATCTTTTTTACCACTATTAGGTAAAAGATATCTGCTTTTGTGTTAGGAACCATGGAGGTAAGGCCACAGCAAGTAATTTTTATGGATGACATGAGCGCGCGCATTGACTTTCGCTTGATTTCGGAGAAAAAAAAAGAAATTTTATTGTCTTCTGACAGTGGTCAACATGCCGAAAATGACTGTTGCCATGCCAGAAGGTGGATGGCAGATAACTATGAAGAGAGGGCACAAGAAAATTCCCTGATTTAATGTTTTGTTTCTTACTAAATTTGATGCAGTGATATGTGACGCTGGCTGTGTATATGTGATGTTCCCACTGAATCAAAACCATTTGTCGAATTAAGTCAAAATTTTGAATTGTTAGGAATCTTTTTTTTTCGGCCCGCCTTGTTTTTTTTTCGCCTGCTCGCATTAGATTTGAAGTCTGCGGAGGATGCTATTCATAAAATTTACTTGCTGTGGGCTAATAGGTAAAAGATATCTGCTTTTGTGTTTGGAACCATGGAGATAAGGAACAATTGCTGCCAAGCCATGTAGCATGCATGGCATCGGGTGGTGTAGTGGTTAGAGCGTTTGACTATGAACCGGGAGACCCGGGTTCGATTCCGAACCATGTTCGATTCCGGGGCATGTCTGAACACTTGTGCCCTTGGGTCGTTGGGAAATGCACTTGACACGAATTGCTCAGGTGTGAATGGGTATCTGTCGTCGGTTGGGAAAAGTCGTATTGAGGTCACCTGGCGCCGAATGGGTGCCGTATTTTTTGGAACAAATATGTGTATCACGTGTATTATTTGATTGTTGACAATAAATATTTGGGCAATAAAAAAATCTAAAAAATACATACGGGAATGCCGGCGGCACCAGGTATCCCATCACGTCCGTCTCTTCCGGACTGGCAGACTGGATGGGAGGGAAACATGAGGACCTCATTTGTATAATTTATGAGGAAATGATAGAATGGCTTTCTTTGTTGATATAAGGCTGTCTTCGGGTGGAGAATATGATCAACTGATATACTTAATGCAAATAAGGATCCTATTTGCATAAGCTGGAGGGATAATCTTTACTTGGCCAGCCATAAAGATTAACATCATTTGGCGAAGGTATGAGATTTTCATATGTTCATGCTTTGTCTGTCTTATTTATGTATTGTCTAATTGTGTTAGGGGCGACATGAGTATAAGTGTTACTTGCAGTGTGTCGTCATCATGTCTTGTCAATGTTTCAATAAATCACAATGTAATGACGTAGCGAGCTAATGTAGTATACTAGTACTTAGAGCCGTAAATAATTTCATCAGGTTGGTAAATGACTGAATATCACAACCATTTATTTTTTCAAGCCAACGTTTCGATGACCTTCTGTCATCTTCATCAGGGCAATACTGATTGGTTTACTGTGCACTGACACTAGATCGAAACGTTGGCTTGAAAAAATAAATGGTTGTGATGGAAAGAACTTTGCTATTTAGTACTTAGAGCTTTGGAACTTTGGAAATGACAGGATAAGAGACAAAAGTAACCCCCGCCAATAAAATCAGTGCTCACCCGAAGGTCCAATAGGGACTCGAACCCAATTCGGGGTGGGCACGTCTCTCTTGCGTCTGCGCAGAAGTCCCCCCACACTGTCGTTCTTACTCGGCAGCTCGCTGTCAACAACAGTGACGTCATCAGCCTGGGGGTTCAGCACAGAACCGGTCTGGTGGGGTCAGACAGAACACATCATTAGGCAATGTCAAAATTATTTTACCTGACTTTTTAGATTTCTCTTACAAAACTATCAAAGAATATGAAGAATAAAACATCTTTACATGCATTGAGAAGTTCCCGTAATCCAACTCCTGCTTTGACAATGTACTGCTTTTTTATTGGGTTCAATTTGTTGAAAAAATAGCTTCAATAGATAGTTTAGGGGGAAAAGTTGTATCCTTACTTGAGCTTATGATATCTACTTACATTAGAGGTCTGTTGCTCTTGGTTGTCTGTTGGGAAATTTTCGGCGTGTATCTGTGATTCCAGCAGGGCCAGCCTCTCCCTCAGGATTACGGTCTCCTGTTGGTCTCGCTCTGCTCTCGCCCGGAAATCTTTGAGGTTCGCCACCTCTATCATCATGTTGCTCATGACTTGTTCCATGTTGCTGATCTCCTTTTCTTGTCGTGCGTTGATGTCTGCTATGTAGTTAATCTTCTCCGCCATGCTGTTAAAATCTTGGACCTTGTCGGCCATGTTGTTGATCTGTTGGTGCATGTTATGAAAGACCACTGCCAGCACCACGGCGGAGGCGAACACCGCAGTCGCCCCCACCACACCCAGGACCGACCCGAGCTGGCCGGCCGCGCGCTCACGGCGGTCAGACACCAGCGAGCCGTACGGCATGCGCACCTTCTCCGAACTCATTCTAGATCTGCTGCAGGTACTCTAACTACCAACAGACAAGACGTATGGTTGGTAACAAAGCTGAGCTGAGTATGAACCAAGTACAGGACAGCTTCTTTTATGTACAGTGGAAAGATTCTTTCAATGGCAAATTAAGTCGGGCCTTCCCCGTGACAGAAAATTTCTCGGAAGATAATTAAGGCTACCTCACTTCAGCTCTTTGGTTCATGTCCACGTTACTGTTAGAATATCTGCAAAGGTGTTCTTGAATCACTGATTTTGGTATGTTTTATTGATTGTCATCTGAAATAAAGACTTTCGTTTGTTAGTGGTGTTTATTTGAAGTATTTCTCGATTGTACTTCAAGCAGACGTCTGGTATCTTTTAGAATAGTATTACTTTTTTTGCGTTGTAATTTTATCATTGGCAATGTTAGACAAATGTTTGTGATGACTTGGCCCCGGCCCCCCAAAAATAAGACATACGTCACTGGAACTAGTAGGCTTGTGACGTTGGCCTGTGTAATTAATACTTTTTCAGCATAGGCAGCTCATAAAAATCAGTTCTACGTCCTTTATTAAAAATGATAAATACTAAATATATGTCCTTACTAGTCATTAATGGTAAGTACAACTCAACACCAATTGTCGCAACCCGGTCAAACAGTGCGACCGAGTACGCAATGAGGAAACAAAGAAGCAGTCAGGTGTAGTTCATATAAAGGCAATGTCTATTGTTGTAGTTAGGCTACTTGCAACACCCCGGGGGCATATGACTTTAAAATGTTGTTGTCATTTGCAGTTAGTATCTTTGTGGGCTCTGTGATGATATCATCTTTTTGTAAGGGATTATATCTACAAATAGACATACAAAATGTTATCACTTTGGAAATAAATAAGTTGCGTACTTCTAGCTTATTTTCGGGAGGATTGTACTTACTAGTATATTTTATATAGTGTCACCCAACCTCCTCTGCTGGAGATCACTACATACTCAAGCAAATACTTCCACCCAGAGTAGCTGTGGCTATTTTTATCTATCAACTGAACCTTCGCTGCTTGAGTTTACAGCCGCGCTATGCCTGAGGTACCACACGTCTTCACCAAGTGGCGCTGCTGCACTGTCCTGTCAGAAAGAGCGACCAGTCTTAGTGCCATTTAGTGTTGTGTTGATTTTAGCTTAGAAATCCGCAAGGTGGCATCCAGTGCTCTGGAATAAAGTGTGTGTTTGTGTGTGTGTTGATGTGTGTGTGTGTTTGTGTGTGTGTGTGTGTGTGTGTGTGTGTGTGTGTGTGTGTGCGCGCACTTGCGTGCGTAGGTGCGTGTGTGTGCGTGCGTGCGTGCGTGTTTGTGTGTGCGTGCGTGTGAGTGCGTGTGTATGCGTGTGTAGTAGAGAGGGAGAGAGAGAGAGAAAGTGCACATGTAGAACACCGGGATACAAAGAGCTTTAAGTGGATGGATGGCACTGCGCTGGGACAGTACAACGCGTTAGCCCCGGGGAAATCTGACGACCATAACAGCATGGAAGACTGCGTAACGTTCATCGTCTCTCATCAACATTGAAGGTAGCAGAACACAGTTTTCGCCCTATGGGGATTTCTATAGTTAAGGACCCAAAGATGACTCACTTCGACGCGGTAAAAATTATAGCAGGGTGCACTTCACAAATACGAAAATCGAATATGTTTGAGAAGAAGGTACAAACTACAAAATATCTAGAAACCAAAAAAATCCTGTCGGCGTATCTGCTCGTAACGTACACTTTGAAATCACCCCTACGGACGTGACCTGAACTGCAGCCGACTCATCCGGAAAGCCATTTGCGCAATACGGCGCATTTATACACGAACTGCAATACCTTCACAATTCAAATCACACAGTCTCAAACCCGATACATTCCTACACCACACAGCACAATTTAAATCTGGCTGACGCTCTTATCAGTCTTTCTACCCAGCCTTCAAGAATATTCGCTGCACTACTTTCTATACCCGCGTCATCGTCCCCGGGGGTCGCCCATTAATACTGTGACCTGCTACCTTGAACCCTACCTAGACCAGGGGG